TGACTAGATGAAAGAAAAGTGTAGTATAGAAGTATATGGTCTGTCAATATATGGTAGAAAAGTCAGAATTAAATTTTTACTGTTTTAAACAGAAGAGAAAAAAAGTATCTCTTTTCTTCTTCTTCTCCTGGCTGTTCATCTAGTTCTGGGCTTTAGCCTTGTAGCAGAATGTATTTTGCATGCATTTCCGTTTTTCACATCTGACATTTAAATGCAGGCTGTTGGTTCCTCACCACTCAGGCAGATGCACTATGACTGTGAAGGAAACACCCCTAATTAGTCACTTTTTACAGCATGCTTGTCAGGGTGTAGTAGATCTGGTCTTGCTTCCTATAAAGAAGGGGACCCATAACCAGATGGAAAGGGGGACAAAGTATAAAACAGGAAGCATAAAGTCAGTTAACAGATAAAGGGAAGTATAGTGTATGATCTGAGAATACATGGGAGAAAAGTAAGGTCCATATATAATTGTTTTTTATAGTTTATTTATTATAACTTCTTCTTTTTCTTGTTCATCTTTAAAAGGATATACTGTGTTATGATTTACAGCTAGGCTGTGATATCCACACCTTTCAGGTCAACATTCAATTTTTAACAAACCCTTAATTAGTTGCCTTTTATGACATAATTGTCAGGGGGGCAGGCATAACTATCTAGGGGGAAATACAATGGTGGTTTTCCTTAACCTTCCGCCGCAGGTTTGTGTATGATCTGACTCCAATATCCTTTGTCTAAAGATACAACCTGCAAGCCAGCCAAGGAAAGAGGTTGTGCATGGTACCTCTGTTTTCCTTAACCTTCCGCCGCAGGTTTGTGTATGATCTGACTCCAATATCCTTTGTCTAAAGATACAACCTGCAAGCCAGCCAAGGAAAGAGGTTGTGCATGGTACCTCTGTTTTCCTTAACCTTCCGCCGCAGGTTTGTGTATGATCTGACTCCAATATCCTTTGTCTAAAGATACAACCTGCAAGCCAGCCAAGGAAAGAGGTTGTGCATGGTACCTCTGTTTTCCTTAACCTTCCGCCGCAGGTTTGTGTATGATCTGACTCCAATATCCTTTGTCTAAAGATACAACCTGCAAGCCAGCCAAGGAAAGAGGTTGTGCATGGTACCTCTAACCACCAATAGCCATCTGACACAGTTTTGAGATATTTCATAGAGCTGGCTGTCCCATTAAACAATATGCACCCTTTCAACATTGCAGAGTGTCATTACACCAGCTAATACATGCTGGTGACGATTGTGGCTGTGTGCAGAGGAAAATATCACCCATGCCGGTCAGCAGGACTCTTGATGATGATGATGTTTAGAATGTTTGCTGGGGGTTCACATAATCTCCCCCCCCCCCCCCCCCTCACCCCAAATTCCAAAGATGAGTCCCGGAATCCACATTTAGAGAAAGTTTAATACAGACATATATGGTTAGTGAAAAGATGGGAGGCATTATTATAGAAGAATAAAGTTAGTGAAAAAATATGGTGCAGTAGTACACAGTGATGAAAATACAGGGGAAAAATTCAGTATTCTTCTCCTTAGCATACACCAGCTACAACATTCTGGTTGCTCACCCACTTCAGGACTTTGGTCTTGTTACATAATTTGAGCTTTGCATGCACATCCATTTCACAATCTGGTTTACCTGTAAGCAGACTGTTGGTTCCATGTTTCTCAGGCAGATGCACTCTGATTCTGAACGAAGACACACCCCCCCCCCCCCCCCCCCACCAGTTGCTTTTTTATGAAAATATTTATAGGCGGCCCCCATTCAATCACTCAATGAGACCCAGAACCCACACAGGGATAATTCAGTAGTTGGGGTATTTTGTTTATGACATAAGGAAGAAAGGTGTTTATAGAAACATGGAAAAATGTTGAAAAGTATATTATAGAAGTATGGAAGTTTAGGAGAGTATAGTTCACAGTGCCTAGTTTGTGAACAGATGGAAGAAAAATATAACACAGAAGCCAAAATTTAATCAGCAGGGACCTGTTTTTCAAAAGTGTAGTTAAATTCCATTGGTTCTATATGCGCGCCTGAGCAGCGTTTAACAGGCCAGGGTATGAATATCTTATCTCACAGTACCTTCTGCGAAACCACCAAGTCGTCTTGTCCCTACCCGAAAAACACCATCTGGTAATTTCGTGCAGCAGGGTACCAGCCCTGAGCTTCATGAACTCAGGTGGGCCCACCTCCGAAAGTGTCTACGAATCGTGGGCCGAAACACTTGTCGACGAGGATAATTTCTACTGACGACTGGTAGATCCCTGCTGTACTTGCTCCCTGTGAGTTTATTCCTATAGTAACTAAAATAGCATTCGGGAGGAGTGGGTTCCTTGTGGATCCAATAGTGTTTTGTTTTTTTCCAAGTCATGCTGATTTAAAATTGTCCCTGTAAGCTTCAGTGAGAGGTTACGGAATAAGTCACCTGACACATATTTTACCTGGAATGCATTCACATTTGATGCTTCACTGTTTTTGTTTATGGAATACTCCCTACATACATCTTTATATATTTCAAAACAAAAATTTAGAATAGGTAATAAACATATTTGTTTCCTGTGTAAAACTTTTTGAAGGATTTTTTTGGGTTGTGGGAATTTTTTTTTTTTTTTGCATTTAATGGTGAAAGGTTAAAGGTAAGTGGAGTGACTTAAAACTGCACAGGATTTTTTTCCAAGTGCCTCGGTCTCTCTTAGTAGAGTGGCTGCTTGCCTCTTAGTAGAGTGGCTGCTTGCCTCTTAGTAGAGTGGCTGCTTGCCCACCAACAGTACCACACCATGTATGAAAATCCACAGCTACAGCCACAATATGTAGGAACTTGCAAAAAATCTGCACCCCTGAACTAAAGAACAGAGTCCAGATTCAAACCTCCAACCTTCATGAGGTGAGGCAAAGGGCTTGACCACACAGCCATAGAATTCCAATAGTCCCCGTCACCTACCATGCATGTCATATATTCACGAAGCAGGGTTAGCTTTAGGATGGCTACACTTTTCAGTAAAATATGTGAGTGAGGAAAAAAGTGAGGAAGGTATATAATAGATAATCGGAAACTATAGCATAGATGATAAGAAGGTAAAGAACAGATAAAAGGAAAGTACAGGTATAGAACAGATAAAAGGAAAGTACAGGTATAGAAGAGATAAGAGGAAGGTAAAGAAGTGGTAAGAGAAAATTACAGAATATATATTAGGAGAGTATAGAATAGATAGGAGGAAGGTAGAGAACAGATAAGAGGAAAGTTGAGAATAGATAAGAGGAAGAAACATATTAAAAGAATGTATAGATAAGAAGAAAGCAAAGCATAGATAAGATTAATGTATAGGATAACTAAGAGGAAGATATAGAGTAGAAAGTAGTGAGTTAAAGAATAATAGAAAGTAAAAATATATCAGAGGATAGTAGATACTAGAAAGTAAAATATAAAAAGTAAATAAATTGTTTTAATACTAAAGAATGAATTGCAAAATAAAATGGGGATCAGGGTTAAATGTAGAAATAGAAATTTTAAAACAAAAGACTTTACAATCAACTTACAGGATTAGAGGGATCAGAAATTATGTGCGTAGCTGAACTGGCGTCAAATTCATGCAACAAATCGCCATCAAATGCTACAATGTATCTCTTCAATTCCTTGTATTTCTCCAGGGAAGTTGGAAGGACAATCTTGCAGCTATGAAAGATTGACGGCAGTTTCTTCTGAAATGAATTTAAACAAAAATAAATCAGCAAACATTATAAGTGGTTTCTAAAAGGTATCATCATCATCATCATCAGGTGCCTTGCCGACTGAGGTGGGCGATCATGCCTCTCCATAATCTGCGATCTCCTGCAGCATGTATCAGTTTGTGTGCTGACACACCTCCATGCCATGCAACAAGACTGTCAAGAATCTTCTCTCGTTGTCTTTCTCTATCCCTCCTTCCACAAATCTTTCCAGTGGTCACAACATGTATTTTCCCTCTTCTCATAACATGGCTGAAAAATGTTTCACATGATACAAAAACAAAAACTGCTGATGACGGCATGAATTCTTGGCATTTTCTCCATGCTCTTTTTGGGAGACTATCACATTATCTCTAGTCTGTGCAACTTCTAGAAATAGGTATTACATTGTCCCTGGCCTATGCAAAATCTGCTGACAGTTGTCACATTATCCCTGGCTCATGCAACTTCTGGAGACAGCTGTCACATTAGCTCTTGCCCGTGCAACTTCTAGAGAACTTCTAGAGACAGCTATCCCGTTATTCCTAGTCCATGCAAAATCTGAAGAAAGCTGTCACATTATCCCTAGCCCATGAACATTCTGCAAACAGCTGTCACCTTATCCCTGGCCCATGAACATTCTAAAGACAACTGCCACATTATTCTTAGCCCATGCAACTTTAGAAACAGCTATAGAAACAGCCATCACATTTTGACTAGTATATGCAACTTCCAGAGACAGCTGTCACATTATTCTTAGCCCATGCAACTTTTAGAAACAGCTATCATACTATCCCTAGCCTATGCCACACCCAGAGACAGCTATCATATTATCCCTGATTCAGTATAATATATATATATAAAGTAATGTGTTGATCAAAACCAATGATCACCTAACAAATATATTTTCAGCTTTCCAATTCAAATCTGCGGTAACTGTCTCCCCCTTCCATTATTACAATTGAAGATTTAAAAGAAGCACCAATTTTTTTTTTTCACATCACAATGTACACAACCATCAGTGTACAGCACTGCATCAACTTTCCTGGAATTTTTCCATCTATCAGCTGCTGCATTTCCAGTTCTGCCATACTAGTTCCCCACTCTACATCCACCTCCTCCTGTAAGGATGAACTGGTGAACATTGCTGTGTGTGATCTGGTAGACACTGTTGTCACCTGGTGGACATTGCTGTGACTTGGTGTTCACTGCTGTCACCTGTTGGACATTGCTGGTGGTTATGTAACCGCATTAAAAAATATAAAAATAAAAATATTTGAACAAATACGTACAGACTGTGAAGAGCTAAGGTCTGCAGTCTTAGCGGGTGGTTCAGATGCAGATGATGATGAGTTCCTCTTCTGGTTTGGAGTATTTTGCTGATGGTCAAAGTCCCGAAGATGCTGTGGGTTTTTCTGGTAGCAGTCTGCTCCATATCTGCACAGTGGCTTGGCCTAAAGTATACAAACGGTTCCATAATTTTCTATACTAAACTGTAATTTAATATAATTTACAATATTGTTCGTTACTATACTTTATTCCATAACGTTAATCCATAAAGTCCAGACAGAACCACAAACAATTGGTGTCACCAACTGGAAAAAGGCCAACCAGTGAGAATAATGGAGGCGGGTGATATCTGCAGCAATGAGCCTCAAGGGCTCGGAATGCTGAAGAAGAAGAAGCAGAAGATGGATGACTTTGGAATACCATATTTTGCTGACGGTCAAAGTCCCGAAGATGCTGTGGGTTTTTCTGGTAGCAGTCTGCTCCATATCTGCACAGTGGCTTGGCCTAAAGTATACAAACGGTTCCATAATTTTCTATACTAAACTGTAATTTAATATAATTTATAATATTGTTCGTTACTATACTTTATTCCATAATGTTAATCCATAAAGTCCAGACAGAACTGCAAACACTTCGTGTCACCAACCGGAAAAAGGCCAACCAGTGAGAATAATGGAGGCGGGTGATATCTGCAGCAATGAGCCTCAAGGGCTCGAAATGCTGAAGAAGAAGAAGATGATGAATGACTTTGGAATACCAAAGGAGTTAATCACCATGACCAAACTGTGTATGGAAGACAATAATAATATAGTAACATATAAAGGAAGGAAGAAAGACCCTTTTCAAATAACATCTGGTTTAAAACAAGGTTATGCTCTGTCCCAACTTCTGTTCAACTTGTCCCTGGAGAAAATTATAAGGAAATTGAAACAAGAGTGTACTATAGAAGAAATTACAAGAATACTTGGTTATGGAGATGTCATTGATATTGTTGGAAAAAATGAACTAGAGACTGTAAAAACACTGACTCTCTTAAAAGAAGCAGCTCACAAAATGGGACTAGTTATTAATCAAGATAAGACAGAATACATGATAATAACAAGAAAGGGAAAGTATATAAACTCTAGCCACATACAAGCGATAATATGAAAATCAAACAAATGGAAACATAAGTACTTGGGTGCAAACTTCAACTGCTCCAACATGCCGAGAAAAGAAATACAATCTAAAATTAAAGTATACTATGCCCTTCAACATCTGCTAAAGTCAAAAGTCTCTTTCTTGCAACACCAAGATCAAAATATTTACAATGTTGATGAGACCAGTTGTTTTATATGGCTCTGAAACTTGGAGTGCAACTAAAAGAGATGAAGGTTTATTATAGGTTTTCGAAAACAGAGTCCTATGACGAATCTGTGGACTTATCAAAGATGTAAACAGTGGGGAATGGAAAGTGAGAAGCAATAATGAAATTTCATTACAAACTCTTTCCTTTGCTACTGGACTCCACACCAAGACAGTGGAGCATCTGCAGAGTGTGGGCCAAAATGTGTGAGGATAGATCAAATCCCAAAATACTACAACAATCTGGTTAATAGCCCAACTACTATAACAAAAAAACTGCCAACGAGAATCGCTATATAAAATACTAACTGTCAGACATGGTACAAAACATGGACTAATGCTACTGTCCAGCTAAACACACTAATACACGAACTACCTGTCACTACAACTAAATCAATACATGCTATAATCTAAAGGTCAACACTAGTCACAAGTCTACAGTCACAAGTCTACAGTCACAAGTCTACAGTCACAAGTCTACAGTCCCAAGTCTACAGTCACAAGTCTACAGTCACAAGTCTACAGTCACAAGTCTACAGTCACAAGTCTACAGTCACAAGTCTACAGTCCCAAGTCTACAGTCACAAGTCTACAGTCACAAGTCTACAGTCACAAGTCTACAGTCACAAGTCTACAGTCACAAGTCTACAGTCACAAGTAAGTCTACAGTCACAAGTCTACAGTCACAAGTCCTGGAATCAACCCCTCGATAGCCATGCTGTCTGTGGGTTTTGTTTCACTCGGACAGAGAACTGTTCTGTCCACAGTCTGTGCAGTCCTCGTGGCTACTTTCACAATCGCCACATAACGTCATGGATTTCAGTGAGACGTCAGTTACTGTCACTGAGCTACTGGTCATGTCGCGGCAAATGGGTACAGACATGGACGTTCACTATCATTACCTTTTATGTCCTACATCCGCACTGGACTCCACTTCTATACTCTACTATGCTTGCCTACCCTATAGTTCACTATGTTTGCCTATCCTATACTATACTTTACTATGTTCACCGTCCATACAATATTTTACTATGCTTGCTTATCCTATCATATACGATGTTATATTTTACTATGTCTGATAATGCTATGCTATACTAAATTTTTTTATGTTTTTCTATCTAACAGTACACTTTACTTTGTTTACCTATCCTATACTATACTTTACTATATCTGCCATTCATATACTTTACTATGTTTCCCTGTCCTATAATATACTTTCTGTTTTGTCTATCCTATACTATACTTTACTATTTTTTGCCAATCTGATACTTTAATATACTTAACTATTTTACTTGCCTTCTTTCCGGAAGATTCACCATCTTCATCATCTCCACTAGCTGCTCGTTTCCTGCTCTCCTTGAGGCTCCTCATCTCAGTGTTGGCTCCTCCTTCTCCATTCACCTCATCACTCTCCATGTCTGCGTCCCCATCACCCTCCTCATCATCGCTGCCACTGCCATCTTTACCCAAAGCCTTCATGAGGTTCATGTCAGACTTCTCCTTGGACTGTTTGAAGAGAAACTGGAGAAGAATGCAACGATGTACGATATAATAAAACTACAGCGCTCTCATCATGTCTGGGAGCCACAATGGCTGGACAGTTGTCTGCTACCATCCTTAAAGGTAGAAAACATAATACTAAGAAATATAAAAACAGAGAAACAATATGTCTACATTCATCCAGTGTGAGTCAAGAACTGATGGGTTCATGTTATGCTATGCTTCACACATCTATGAGGCAGGAAACAGACCGTGGCTGTTCCCCATAAGGGTTCTGGGGCCCCATTGTGGGGAAAACAAGAACAGACCCACTGGTTCCCCAACAAGCATGCCGTAAAAGCCACTGCCGAGAGTATCTCCCATGCCGCTATGCGCGGCCTGGATTAGGACTAAACTAGATGGCTGGGACTCACGAGCAAATAAAATAAAGGAAGCTGCAGGAGATGCAGTAGCTGCTGCTCGTAAGTCCTAGCCATCTAGTTTAGCCCCAATCAACGCCACGCATAGCGGTGTGGGAGATACTCTTGGCGGTGGGTAGTCGCGGAAAGTGCGCAATTTAAGTCGCCGAAAATCCACAATTTACATGTGACTGATGCCCTGTTAGCGATATTTTCGGCCTCGAAAATTTGGGACCATTATTCGGAAGATATGTGCTATATATAATTGCTTTCATTATTATTACATTTTCTAATAGCACGCTAATTTATTTTCACAATGATAATTCATTTTAAAAAACTTAGTGCAAATTAATGAAACTGTAGTTTAATTTGTGTTTAAATTTACTTGATAAACATAGTGAACACAAAAATGGGAATTTCCATTAACCTGGATGGCCATATAAAAAGCTATAGTGGGCCGTGGTCAGACCTATCAAACAGATGTGTATGCAACACTCAAGTTCTAGAACAAGACCAAAGTGCAAAGGTGGAAAAACAACTGGAATTTTTCGCTCCAGCCGGTGAACGCGAAGAGGAAGAGGATACTAGCTGAAGGTCAAGAAGGATTACCTGCAAGAAGGAAGCATGGTTGACGCAGCAGGCTTGGTAGTTTTTTGAGCATACTATTTATCTTGCATACAAATCCACACCAGAACATGAGGAAGGGGGGGGGGGGATTTAAACTGACCATATGATAAATATGCCTGGCATGATGCAGACCACATCAGCCACCAAGTGCTGACTGGTCTATAAAAAGTAAATATGGGTTTGGTACAATAGCTGGAGGCACCACTAACACTAAAAGTCTTCTTTAGGAAAAAACTAGCTCAAAAAGTGTCTTCTTTAGTGATCACTAGCAGTAAAAGTGTCTTCTTCAGTGATCACTAGCAGTAAAAGTGTCTTCTCCAGTGATCACTAGCAGCAAGTGTTTTCTTTAGCGATCAATCTATTCAAGCATGAGTCACAAACAGGATAGTGTACTGGAGATCTTCATCAGGGCACCCCATTTTCTCTTGCAGGGTCTCCCAGTTTAAGTTCTGGAGCCTATTTAAATATATACACCCCCCACCCCCAATAACTGCATTGTAAATGGCGACTAATTATGGGTTTTTCCTTCAAAACTGGAGCGCACCCGCCAGACAGGCAAGGAACCAACAGTGTGCATACAGATTAGGCAGATCTGTAAAACAAATGTGCAAGCAAAACTCTAGTTCAGGAACAAAGTCCTGAAGTAGAGGAATAATCATAACTTTCTGCCAGATTTTATAGACGACGAATGCTTTAAAAAAAAAAGAAGTCTTGCAGGGTCACTCCTGTGAGTCACATTTCTTCTCTCTGGCTGGTAAAGTGTGCTGTCTGGCTGGTAAAATGTGCTGTCTGGTTGGTAAAATGTGCTGTCTGGCTGGTAAAGTGTGTTGTTTGACTGGTAAAGTGTTTTGTTTGACTGGTAAATATGCTGTCTGGCTGGTAAAGTGTGCTGTCTGGCTGGTAAAATGTGCTGTCTGGCTAGTAAAGTGTGCTAAGCTATAGATAAAGGAAAAGGATATGTCACCTGACTCAAGTTGGTTGAGGACCTATGCTCCATGGTAGACAAAAGGCAGTCAAAGAAAAAACAAGAACACATAAACTCTTTAAATACAGTTACCTTGAGGCGAGGTAAATCCGTTGCCTCCTTCCATGTTTTGTCATCTCGAAATTTCTGAATTCTAGGAAAACGAATGGAGATTCCGTCAGCGGTATGGATTTCTGCTTGACTGAATTCTGCACCGATTATTTCCCAAACAGGAGCTTTCTTGGGGTCAGCGACCACGAAGTCAGGGGTCAAGGACTTGTTGACATGCAGCCAAGGAGGGACCTGACCAACAAAACAAAACGTTGTTTGTTTACTGTTTATTTTCAACTCTTAAAATATACAGGAAATACTTTGTTGTTCTGTGCTCCAAGAGATAGTGGAAACACTCCAGATAATCTTGTTATTCCTCTTCAGCATTCCGAGACCCTGAGATTCACTGCTGCAGTTATCACCTGCCTCCATTCACCTCTCTGGCTGGCCTTCTCTTTCCAGTTGGTGACAACAAGTGTTTGTAGGTCTGGATATTACTCTAGATCATAGAGGAAATATCCCAGGTCTACCCAGCCTTGAATGGGTACCGGTGCAGTCCTGTGAAGTAGAGGTGGGTGGCGCGATGCTGACCACATCACCCATCTTGTGCCGATTGGTCTATACAAATATAGGTCTAGCCCTATATGCCCTATACGCTTAAAGACGTGGAAAAGGGTCCTTTACTTTTTTTTTTTAATAGAGGAAATAACTGTCGTGCGTACCTTGCTATTTGCCCACTTGTGTTCAGAGGAACTACCTTGTTATTTGCACCTTTGGATACAGAAGCAATACCTTCATGTTTGTACCCTAGATTATAGAAGAAATACCCTGCTGTTTGTACCCTAGATAATAGAGGAAATACCTTGCTGTTCATACCCTAGATTATAGAGGAAATACCCTGATGTTTGTACCCTAAATTATAGAGGAAATACCTTGCTGTTTGTACTCCTGATTACAGGGAAATACCTTGCTGTTTGTACTCACGATTACAAAAAAATACCTTGCTGTTTGTACTCCTGGTTCAGTGAAATACCTTGCTGGTTTAACCCTAGTATATAAACTGAATCATTTATCGTTTGTGTCTTAGGATTTAGAGGAAATGTGTGACTTCCACTGCGGTATGAGTGTCAATTTGTTAAGAAAGCAATAGCAAACTACTGAATGTACCACTGCCTAGTAAAACTACAAAGAACCAAGATGTGGTTTGTGGCATCCTGCAAAGGATACATACAACTAACTAAACAGCTTCAGCTCTTACTTTAGAATAATCTTTGCTGATCTTCACCACATCCAGCTCCTTGTTAAGGGACTCCAGTTTCTTGTCATCCAGTCCACTGCCACACTTGGACACGGTCACCCATCGGTCATTGTCTGGGTCATACACCCCCATAAGGAAGATGGACATCATCCCGCCTGTTTAGAAAACAATAAATATCATTACGGCACAACTGTTCAAACACTGGTGCATGCAAAGGAGACTGGGGGAATGTGATTCCTGGTGATTGTCATGGAAGCTACAAGGTTGTGCTTTGCACAACACTTTAGGTGGGCAGCAGCTATGCAAACAGAGATGGGGCTATATGTGGGATACAATCTGATGCAATAAAGTCAGTCCTGTTGACTTTAAACTTTAAATTTTTAAACTGAGAAGAATGACCTTTTCCCCTTTTTTTTAAAGTGACTCCTTTTTTATCATCTGACTCCTCTTTCTTCAAAACTGTTTCCTCTTTATTATTCATTACCTCCTCCTTTTTCCTTCTCCTGCTACCTTCTTCTCTTTCTTCTTTTTTTTCTATTCAAATAGTGCTAAATTTATAATAAAAGTCAAAGGCATTATTTTAGGACAAATATAGAAATTTAAGTATCTAGGCACATGGATAAAATTTGATAGAAGATGTATCACACAGATTTAGAACAGAATAGGACAGGTCAAAACTGCCCATTGTAAATGAAGATAATCACTTTCTAACATTGTGGCCTCTGAGTGACCTTAGTTGAATGGCTCTGCTCCATAAAATCCCATTTCCAGATTTGTCACATATGGTGCTAACCTAATTTTTATAGACTAAATTTGGACTCAGCAGGTGATAAGTTAAAAAAATTCACATCAGCCAGTTTTATTTTCCAGACTCCCCGTTTGGATTACGGGGCCCCTTTTATGGGTGGAAAAAAGCCCACTGAAGTCTTAACAGGCATGTCATAAAAGCCAATTAGGAGTGTTTCCTTCGAATTTAGAGTACACCTGCTGGAGAGGTGAGGAACTAACAGTCTGCATACAAATAAGCCCCAGTAAGATGGGTGTGCATGCAAAACTCAAGTTCTGGAACAAGACAACATTTCTTCCAGAAATGGAAGAACAACCAGAACTTTCTGCTGGACTTTATAGTCGGTGAAGGCAAAGAAGAGGAAGAAGAAGAAGACTTCCAAGGACTGCCTGCTATAAAATTTAAGATGGGTTGATCTGGGCATCCTAGTTAATTTGTAAAATGTCTTGATAGGAATTTGAACTTCTGGCAAGGCAGATGATGATGATGATGACGCTTGACCTCTTTATATCTGTTTCCTGTAAAAGAGACGGGCTGTGCCCATAGAGTGTAGCTGGAGTTAGTGCAAGCAGGTGCAAAAGGAAATGGAAAAAAAAAGTGACAGGCCTGCTGGTAAATCTTCCATGGATGGGGATGAGGCATGGGCCAGGCCGATATACTGAACGCTCTACAAGACCTAAGACATTTGTGAAAACCAAGTGATGACTGTCAATCTGCAACCACAATCAGACTGCAAGAACAGCAAGTGAAAAGCGGTGAGGCCAGACAGGAGCACTAAGCAAGAGGCCAATAGAACGAATAAATCAACACAGAAATGGTGTTGTTAGCCACAACATGCTGAGAAAGGGATCACAGCCGTATAGACCAAATGATCTGATATGTAATGAGGATGATCTGATGACTAACCAACCTTTATTTCCTGTGCCATAGTATGCTCCAAGAACAACCAAGTCTGCTGAATCAGCCATGCTTCCTTCATGCAGGTAATCCTTCTTGACCTTCAGCCAGTGTCTTTTTCCTGGCTCATAGATGCTCTGTGTGAAGGACAGCATAGCTTGAACTTAATCCATCATAAATACTGAATAAATGTATACATATTGTTTCTCTTTTTTATATTTCTTACCATTATCTCTCTGATCTTTGAGGATTATGGTACAATCTTGTTTAGTCTTTCCACTTCTACACTGTCTTGTTTGGTCTTTGCTCTTCTACCCTGGGGTTCGGAGGTACCTTAGTCTTGTCTGGTCTTTTCTCTTCTACACTGGGGTTCGGAGGTACCTTAGTCTTATTTGGTCTTTGCTCTTCTACACTGTCTTGTTTGGTCATTGCTCTTCTACCCTGGGGTTCAGAGGTACCTTAGTCTTGTCTGGTCTTTCCTTTTCTACACTGGGGTTCGGAGGTACCTTACAGTCTTATTTGGTCTTTGCTCTTCTACCATAGGGTTCAAAGGTAAATTAAAAACCTCATAATCTCTCATCCTCTTGAGTTTTCTGTCCTCTGCCTTCCCATCCTCGTAAGCCTCACTTTATCTCACCCCTCCCATCCCTTGCAAGAACATTCTAGTTAATTATTATCAAGTTGTTGTTTTTTTCAATGTATGTACTACCCAGTGTCAACATCTCTTTCTCACCTCATGATTCATTGGAATCTGTTACTTCTCTCCTGAACTCCATATTAAGTGATTCTTACAGAGCTTTAAATTTTAAATACAGTAAGTAATAGGACTAATTAGAAACAATGACTACACACTAGAAATGACAAACAACTTATAAGGGAGACTAAGCACCAACATGCCTGTTCACAGTGTAATCTGGTCATTTCTAAGGATAAAGCAATGGTACTTACATTAACATCTTTAAGGACAAGACCTTCCAGCCCCTCACGGAATACCCGGGCCATCAGCTCCTGCAAGTCTGCTGGTTTCTGCACAGACAACAGAAAAAAAACAGAGAGAAAAAAAACTGTAACAGAAGTAAGCAAAGTAAAAGATTCTTTTCCACCCTTTCAGGCGTATTGGGCACATAGGGCTAGACCATGGCGACTTCCTGTAGCGGAAGTACACGTACAAAATATGGGTCGGCGCTCAGAAATTAATGATCAGCTCAACAGAACTGACATGAATAAACTGCCTTTTCAGACGAGGTCTAAGGGGTGTACTCACCTGAATCTTTGCTTGGCATGGAGTCTATGCCTGACTCGGTCACTCTGTGACTTGCATTTCTTCATAATCTTCCTGAGCTTCATGCTTCACAATTGCTGAGTAATAAGCTTTAATATTTATGAGCTTATTAATATTCAGCATTTGATATATACACATAAGATATGTCTATTTGGGACATAACCGCATATATCTATAAGTTGCATGCCAAAGGCACCAAACAATGTTTAATCCTTCAACTCTTTTGGTACAAAGGAACCCATCATGAGTTGATTTATAAGTAATTTATCCCCCGTGGGGGGGTCCGGGGCCACATTGTGAGGTAAACAAGAATAGACCCACTGCCTCCCCAACAAGCATGTCACAAGAGTCGACTAACTAGGTGGATTTCCTTTGAAGTCAGAGTGCATCTGCCTGAGATTCAAGGAACTAACAGTGTGCATACAAATAATTCAGATCTGTAAAACAGATGTGCAGGCAGCACTCAGGTTCTGAAACACGTATAAAGTCCAGATGTGGCTGAACAGCCAGAACTTTCCGCCGGAGTTTACAGCCGGTGAATGCGAAGAAGAAGTAACTAATTCAACTGTCCTTTATTACTGAAATAGTTCATCTTATCTCATCTTGATCCTCTGGTGCCCTGCGGTGTAGAGGTGAAGTATAATTTATGGTAAAATGCCCATCTGGGTGCTTTGTACATGGGGAATCCCAGGGACCCTGTTATTCCCTATGTCCAACAATCTGCATGGTTGACCTCTTCTTCCCTTACCGCCTGGTCTGTAAATTATTGCTTGCAATGGTATACTGTTTGCTGACATCCACATTATATGGCCAAACCATTTGACCTGTTTTCTAATAGAATCCACAGCTGCCTCAACCCCCATTCTCTTTCAAAACAGTTGTTACTACATTGGTAATTTCTAATTAAAACACACACTTACTTTGATAAGCTTAACCTCTGAAAGATTCACGTGGTTTTTTACTGGAGTCATATTCTTCTCCAAGATTTGTCTCCTCTCCTTAATCGGCCTGAGGCAAATAGCAAACAAATCAGATATGCATATTTCATCAATTACTTTAAGACATCAATTTCCTATATTCTCACTGATGGGAGTTAATGATAACTCTTATCCCTTTTGTCCCATATAATCATTAAAACATGACCTTTTTCATAATTTTAAGAAGAAGAAGAAGAAGAAGAAGAAGAAGAAGAAGAAGAAGAAGAAGAAGAAGAAGAAGAAGAAGGAAGAAGAAGAAAATGAAAAAGAAGTTTAAAAAAATAAAAAACACACAATTCTCAGAAAATATCCGAAGAAACTACAGGAAGGGAAGACGCAGAAAAATAAATTTGGAGACTGGGTGCTTTTATCAAAATCCAAAGGGTTGAAAGCTAGCCTGCTAGCTACTGCATCATTTTACATCCTAAGTTAGTGAAAAGGTAGATTTTTCATATTTAGAGTCCTTATTTTGCACAAAATGATTTTTTTTAAACGAAGGGAAATAATCACTAAATACAAATAGAGCAAAGAAATAACTGCCCAGCCACATAGAGGTAAGTGACGTCTTCAGTTTATTATGATGTCACAATTAGCCAAAAAAGCCCCCCCCCCCCCCCCCCCCCCCCCTCCCCCCCCCCCCACAATATATCATAAACTTTTTTTAATATAATCATACCAACTGTGTCTACACACTGCGCAGTTGCAACCAGTGCCAAAGCTGTTATATAAACGTACTGGCTTCCTCCCAAAGATATCGTTGTCATTCTAGTCATTCCCCTGTGGGATGCAATTTTTCGTTATTTGTGAAGCCCCACCCTGGCTCTTGCCAGGGGCCACAATATAGCCAGGCCATAAATATGGTCTAATGGCTTAACACAGTTTCTGGGACCTCTCCACGGGTGATCTTCATCAACATGATGGCACATTGTGTCATCGGGTGTTATCGATTGTGTGATGTCCTAGAGGGGGAAAATGTACTACTACTACTACCCAAAGATATCATGCCATCAACAACAACAAAACCTGAAAAGTAAGAAAATTGGCTTTCTCATGGTCATAAGGTTGATGACAATAGGTAAAGGCTGCAGTTTAGATTTCCAAGGACTGAAGAACAACAAGCCAATATCTGAGGGGCGAAAGGTCAGTATTTTTATCTTCACACATTTTCAGCCTACACATATCTGAAGAAAGCAGCAGTTAATATGGGCTCATTGCACCTCCACAGAATGCCTCTTCATATGGCACTGGTACAGTTTTCTCTGTTCTGAAAATGTTAGAGACTCTTGCAGGAAATGTTTAACTGTCACTTCCTCAACCCCATGTACAGCCCTGTGGCTTAGAGGTTAGTGAATGCGTTTAACAATTCTGTGAACCTCGAATACTATGATTAGAATTCCACGAGGGTTCGAATGCTAAGTTAATTTTTTTATTTTTTATTTCCTTTTTTCTGAAAGTTGGACGAGAGTTACACCATAGAAGAGATTAGGGCCTCAGCCCGTAATACTCTCAAAGATATCAGTGGGAACACTGTCGCTAATCTTCACTGTAGGGATAGAAAAAACAAAACAGTTCCATAACTGAAGGCATCAATGTCTCCTATCTTTAATTCAATTAATTAAGCAGGTGGTATTTCCGCCTGTTACTTATTTTCTGTGGCCGACAATGGATCTTTGGCATTGTTTTTTCTTGGTCACTGGGGAAAAAGGGTTAAATCAGTAATTAGTACAGCCGGGATGCTCATTTTTTAATTGGTTTTTTAAGTGCTTCTTATAAACTGACAAGCTTTATCACAGGTAATTTCTACATCAAAAACAGTATTTCGCCTTCCTTTGTCAATCTGTCAGCCCATTCATTAACAAGTATACTGGAATATGAGGCCATCCTTTTTATTATAACTCTTGTGGATTGCTGACAATATTCTCATGTATTCAGAAAGGACATACCTGTTCATGATGTTTTCATCGTTGATCAACAAACAGTCAAACACAAACAAGCACACTGTGGCATCTTGAAAGGCAGCTTTCTAAGGAGGCAACAAAGATTAATAAGATGTTAGTAAATAATAATGAACAGGGAACAAAGACAACAAGAATAACACAATACATGAAAAGTGAAATTCAAAAATAACATTATACATGAAAAGGGGACTTCAAAACAATCAAAACAATACAAAGACAAAGAAATTATATAAGTGCCCAAAATAAAAGTAAAGGATCCTTTTTCACACTTTCCAGCAGACTGGGTGTATAGGGCTTGACCTAAACTGTACACACGAACTAGCAGTCGACGGGTGATATGGTCAACATCACACCAGAAGCCTTTACTTCCCAAGACTTTATCTGGTACCCATTTAAGGAGATGTGTGCCAGAAGGAAATAGCGAATTTGGATCAGATCATAAATTTTTGGAAAAGTGCATTTTTATACACCTTAGTATGTCTTCCTCCAAATTTGGCATTTGTTTTTGTTGTTACAAATTTATTTTTAATGCAATACTCATACTTCGGTAAACTAACTTTGGGCGTCAAATGTTTAATTTATTGAAAATTATTATCAAACGTGGTGTTTTTCTTACCCTGACAATGGTACCTGCACAAGTGACAACTGTATGTATCATACACTGTTGTAATTTTAATTGTTTTCCCTGCACTGTTCAAGAAGTTTCATAATCGTGGAATGTCACTTTTCTGATACGCATCTCTTTTTTTCATACCTACAATCTCCTGGACAATTCCATATATGGGTGTCAAACATGGCCTTACTCATAAGCATAAGCTATGCGCGATTCCTGTTGCTTGGAACTGACCCCAAGGGTATCCAGTTCTCTAAGATGGCCACTGTGAACAATTGTTTATGTTGAATGTGGCGAACTGAAAAACAGGCTTTGTTTAGAGAAATTAACCCTCCTCTAGGCTGATCAACATTAGAAATTTTAGTCTACAACTGGCAAATACTCGAATGCAAAATCTACCAGTGTCACAAAATTACAGAAAATTTAGAATGTGACCCAGCTAAACGGCACAGGCCTGTTCCTAACCTCACTGGTATTTTGACAGTGAAGGATTCTGTACCACCGTGTTCTTCTCAAAGTTGTGGAAGTGACTCTTTTCTTGCAGAAAAAACATATATAGCCAGTTTAAAAAGAGACATCTATTATTAATATGACCTCCTCTAGGAGCAAGTATGTTTCTGCTGATTAAAAAAGAAAGTGGAACACAAAATAGTCAATTTCATCTAAACTGATTAAAGCATAATGACGTTATGTTCCCCAGCAAGTAAAAATACTAGTCTTATTTTGAAAACTGACAGCAAGAAAGCTAAAAGGATTAGTCATGCATGCGGAAGTTTACTGCATTTGTTGTGAAGAAGTCATCTTGGTCATCTTCATTTCTTAGTTTCAGCTTCATAGCAAAACGGATCACTCCCTTGTTGCTATGCTCCTATACAACGAAAACACACAGAATGTCCATCACAGTCCCTTGTGGAAAAACTGATAAACACTGGAGTCTCAGCAAATTCACTAGCATAACATGCATTAAAAGCATAAGGCAGCCGTCAGAAGTGATAAAACAAACAGTCCGACATCAGAAATGCTGTTCATCATTGACGGAAGCAGCAGTTACAAACAGATCAGCAGTTGCACACACAATTGATTTTAATCACATAAGGCACCACTAATACTGTGGCAACAGGCTGCGTGCCATTTTCTAAATCTACAATTCCCAACACCACACTGGTCACAGTGGACAAATATTCCACATTAAATCTGCAGCTCACAGCATCACGCCATGCACTCAACTCAGTAGCTGGGTGACAAAACTATATCCTTTCAATCTACAAAGTGAGGAAAATGCAACGGCGACCATCTGTCAGAAGCAAATAATTTGCTTCAGTTAAAAACAGTGACCGTGCCTATCATCTATTTTGAGAAGTAGTCTATGGAAGGCACGTAGCTGCAAGAGATAATGTTCAACACTTTGAGAAGCAGAAAAAAGAGAGGAGAAAGAAGATGATAAAGGGTGAGAAAAAGAAGAAGAAGGTTAAAAATAACAACATACTTTATGAACACCAAGAGTTCCAAATGGCAAAGGATTTCCTGTTTTGTTATCAACCAGCAAAACTTCAGAGTCCAGGATCAAGTTGCTGCTGGTGGCAAAAGCTTTGGGGATGAAGTCTCTAAACAGCTTGACCTAGAAAAATTATCAGTTTTACAAAATGTCGATAAAATAATTCACCACTTTATTTGAGTCTATAACTGTCACCTAATTTGATATCCATATACACATTTATATTTATATATGGTTTGTCATGCCACAACGGTGTTGAATAAAGTACCTAACTCCATGGCTGCAGTGACAATCTGCAAGAATCTCCAAAATACCTGCACTTGTGAACTGAAGGACAGCATCAAAAATCAAACTCAAAAACTTCAGAAAAGAAGGCACTTCACAATAGACACAAATGCAATAATTCTACAATTTATTTTAGTCTTTTAATTTTCAGATAATACCTTTTTTTATTTTTATTTATTTTTTTATTTTTCAGCAGTCTCTGTGCAAATTCCTTTGACAGATCTGGTTGAACTGTTTGCTTCTCATCTTTCAGGTAGATGCACTTCGAAACTGATAAAAGCATTCAAATGTTACATTCCCCAGTATGTAAAAATACCAGTCTTATTTTGAAAACTGACAGCAATAAAGCTAAAGGATTAGCCATGCATGCAGAAGTTTACTGCATTTGACATGAATTAAACAATTTATTTTAGTCTTATAATTTTCAGATAATACTTTTTATTTTTATTTTTCAGCAGTCTCTGTGCAAATTCATTTGACAGATCTGGTTTAACTGTTTGCTTCTCATCTCTCAGGCAAATGCACTTCGACTTTAAAGGACCCCCCCCCCCTCCCACCCCAAAATTTGTCACCTTTTTCAATATGCATGTTAGGGAGCAACGGGTCTATTTATTCTTCTCCCAAGAATCCCTACTGGGATGACATACAGTTTAATCCATTCTGTTCTGATGATCAAGCACCAATTAACAAATGTTTGCGGTCATTAGTATTTCTTCTCAAAATAAGAACAAAACGTCTTAGCGGTCTATACATTCATCTGCTTCTTTTAAAGAGTGCTGTAAAATAAAGATCAAAATAAACTCTGCACATAATAATGTACACACTACAGTGGCTAGACACTTGCCTAAGGATCAGAAGGTCCTTACCGAGCCATAATTTTGTTTTCCAACAAAATTACATTTGTTCCCAGGTCGACCCAGCCTACTTCAATGATTATCTGGTAAAGTCCTGGGAAGTGAAATCAGTCAGCATGATGTTGACAACATCACCCACCAAGTGCTGACTGGTCTATAAAATATAGGTCTAGCCCTATCTACCCAATAGGCCTGAAGGGTCCTTTACTTTTACATTATTACAAATAACTTCTTCTGCATTTCCTCTAAACAGGACAAATGGCACATTTGTTGTGGTTTACAGCTAAGCTTGGATATAGGCGCTTTTTAACCCAGCACATCCAATTTCAGCACACTCCTATTTGGTCACCTTTCTTGTTCTCTCAAAATGGGGGTCCCAGAACCTAAGCAAGAATACATAAATTGTGGATGTCAAGGTTTCGGGAAAATTTGTACCTTATGCTCCAAAACTGGTTTCAGGGACCTACTGAAGAATTTAAACTCATCCCCTCGTTTGTGGACCTGGACTCTCTCCCCGTCATACTTGATCTCGGCAAAAAAGCCATTAGGGCACTTCTTCATTGCTTGCTCTACTGACCTACATGCTTCTGCCTGGATGAAGGAGACAAATGATTACTTGATTACTTATTTAAGAATCAACATCACAGTTCACCATGCATACACACAGATGCTCTGTCTCAAGGGCGAAGATTTCGAAAATGGGGATCCTCACAGGCCAGAGATCCGAGTCCCTGCATATAAATATTATTAAAAACAATACAACTGGCAATGGTCCGTAGGCCACTTGCTAGGCCTCTTTGGGCCAGTTTTGGTCTACTGACCTCCAGTTTTTAGCCCAGTCTTAAGGTGCAGACTGCTCCAAAAGCACACTGATTGTAAACATTTTGTATTCTTCCTCTCATAGGTTGGTTTTTTTTTAAGGGTGCTGGATCAACAATTAACTCAAAATCATTCCATTTGGGGGGGAAAAAATGTCTCAGTTTCCTGAAGTCCATACTATTGTTGTTTATATGTTACTGTTCTTGCTGTTGATACTATTCTTGTTGTTGATACTGTTCTTGTTGTTGGTATTGTTCTTTTATTTGGTAGTGTTGTTGTTGGTTATTGCTCTTGTTGTTAGTATTGTTTTTATTGTTGGTATAGTTCTAGATGGTACTGTTCTTGTTGCTGGATAGTGTTCCTGATGTTAGTATTGTTTTTGTTGCTGGCATTGTTCTTGTTGTTGGTATTGCTCTTGCTGTTGGTTTTGTTCTTGTTGCTGATACTGTTCTGTTGGTTATTGTTCTTATTGTTCATATAGTTCTTGTTGGCACTCTTCTTGTTGTTATTGTTCTTGGTTTTGAACGGTACTGCTCTTGTTGTTGGTATTTTTACTTCTTGTTCGATAACATTGTTCTTGCTGTTGTTACTGTTCTTGATGTTGGTTTTATTCTTGTTGTCCGTATTTTACTTGTTGCTGGTATTGTTCTGGTTGCTGATATTGTTCTATTTGTTGGTATTTTTCCTTGTTGTTGAGTGGTGCTGTTCTTGTTGCTAGTACTGTTCTTGTTGTTGGTATTGTTCTTGGTGTTGGCACTGTTCTTGTTGTTGAGTGGTATTGTTCTTGTTTTGTTGTCATCTGGTTCTTGTTTTTGGTACTGTTCTTGTTGTTGAGTGGTATTTTTCTTGATATTGTTTTTGTTGTAAGTGGTACTGTTCTTGTTGCTGGTACTGTTCTTGTTGTTGGTATTGTTCTTGGTGTTGGCACTGTTCTTGTTGTTGAGTGGTATTGTTCTTGTTTTGTTGTCATCTGGTTCTTGTTTTTGGTACTGTTCTTGCTGTTGAGTGGTATTTTTCTTGATATTGTTTTTGTTGTAAGTGGTACTGTTCTTGTTGCTGGTATTGTTCTTGTTGTTGGAACTGTTCTTGTTGTGGGTATTGTTCTTGTTGTTCAATGGTATTGTTCTTGTTGTTGAGTGATACTATTCTTGTTGCTGGTATTGTTCTTGTAGTTGGCACTGTTCTTGTTGCTAGTATTATTTTTGTTGCTGGTAGTGTTCTTGTTGTTGACAATAAGCTGTTGTTGGTAATGTTCTTGTTGTTGGTAATGTGTTGTTGTTGTTAGTAATGTTCTTGTTGTTGGTAATGTTCTTGTTGGTAAAGTCTTTCTGTTGGTAATGTTCTTGTTGTTGGTATTGTTCTCATTGTTGGTATGTTCTTGTTGTTGGAATTGTTCTTGTTATTGATATTGTTCTTAGTATTGTTCTCACTGTTGGTACTGTTCTCATTGCTGGTATTGATCTCACTGTTGTTATTGATCTTGTTGTTGGTATTGTTCTCACTGTTGGTATTGTTCTCGTTGGTATTGTTCTCACTGTTGTTATTGTTCTCACTGTTGGTATTGTTCTCGCTGTTGGTACTGCTCTCGTTGTTGGTATTGTTGTCATTGTTCTTATTTTTCTCTTAGTTGGTACTGTTCTCATTGTTGGTACTGTTCTCACTGTTGGTATTTTTCTCACTGTTGTTATTGTACTCACTGTTGTTATTCTTCTCACTGTTGGTATTGTTCTCGTTGTTGGTATTGTTCTCATTGCTGTTATTGTTCTCGCTGTTGGTACTGTTCTCATTGTTGGTATTGTTCTCACAGTTGTTATTGTTCTTCCTGTTGGTACTGTTCTCATTGTTGGTATTGTTCTCACTGTTGTTAATGTTCTCACTGTTGATACTGTTCTCACTGTTGGTATTGTTCTCACTGTTGTTATTGTTCTCACGGTTGGCACTTTTCTCACTGTTGGTATTGTTCTCACTGTTGTTATTGTTCTCGCTGTTGGTACTGTTCTCATTTTGGTATTGTTCTCACTGTTGTTATTGTTCTCACTGTTGGTATTGTTCTCGCTGTTGTTATTATTCTCACTGTTGTTATTGTTCTCACTGCTGGTATTATTCTCACTGTTGTTATTATTCTCACTGTTGTTATTATTCTCACTGTTATTATTCTCACTGCTGGTATTATTCTCACTGTTGTTATTATTCTCACTGTTGTTATTATTCTCACTGTTGTTATTATTCTCACTGCTGGTATTATTCTCACTGTTGTTATTATTCTCACTGTTGTTATTATTCTCACTGTTGTTATTATTCTCACTGCTGGTATTGTTCTCACTGTTGTTATTATTCTCACTGTTAGTCATTTCTCTTACCATTGTGTATTTTTTTCTTCTGATTTGTTAGCTGTAAAAAGAAGGGGGGGGGTGGGGGGGGGGGGGGGGGGTAAAAAGACAGGTAGACTGGTTTGGGGGTGGGGGGATATAGGAGGGAAAAGGTGGAAGGAGGGAAAGGTGATAGAAAAAGAGGAATGGGAAATAAAGTGGATCTGTAAGGAAAGAGGGGGAATTAAATGGAAGAGAGAAAAGAAACAGGACAGACAAAAAGGAGAGAATTAACAAGGAAAAGGGGGGAGGGCAAATTAGGAAAACAGGATTAAAGGAGAGGTAAAGATAAGAGAGATAAAGAAAGGAGAGATCTGGAGGAAGGGAGAGTTAATGAAAGGGAAAACTAAGAAATAGCTAGAATAAGAATATATAAATGGGGAGGAGTAAGACAGGATAGAAGAAAATGAGAGAGGGAATGAATGAAGGAGGGAGGGAGGGAGAAATGGAAATCCTAGAAGAAAAATATGAAAGAATGAGTCAGGGAAGCAAAAACATTTTTTTTTCTTTCTGTGTCCATGCCTTATCAGGATGGCTGGCATGCTGTTTGTGGTTTACAGCTAGGCAGCATTATCAGCACCTTTCAGTCACAAAATGTCAGCAAACCCTTAATTAGTCATCTTTTACAGCATGCTTGTTAAGACGTAGATAATCTATTCCCCGCACCCCAAAGGGCCCTGGAACCCACAAGAGGAAGAAAAATGTTTACTATTTCTATCACAAGAACTTATCAGCAGACAGAAGAAGCACAACCCACCAGCATAGGTAGGACCGGTGTCATCAAAGCCGCCCTGACACTCAACGTCTTGCTCATTCCTGGCCGGGCATCCTCAGTTGCCTGAGATTGATTTTGGGTGACCCGCTCGACAACATCCCGCAGATTCCGAGATGCCTGGAAGGCTGCGTATGCATTGGGATCAAGGCCATCCAGACTGATAGGGGATTCACACAAAAATTTTAGCATAAAGTGAAGTCATTTAATTTATTAGGAAGCTCATGATAAAGAAAGGCTAACACATGATTCACACTCACAAAGGTTAGGATTAAGTTAAGCTGTCACATGATTCAATAATTTTTAACATAAAAAAGAAGTTTTCACTTATTTCATTAAGAGGTTAAGATAAAGAAAAGTTGTTAAATGATTTACAAAAGATCAGGATAACCATAATTTGTCACATGAACTACAGAAGGTCATGAACTATAAAAGGTTAACATACAAATAATTTGTCACATGAATTACAAAAAGTCAGCATAAAGATAATTTGCCACATCAGCTATAAAAGATCAGCATAAAGTTAATTTGCTCCTTAAACTAAAAAAAAAAGATGTTATATATAGAGAAACTGTCACAAAATTCACCAAAGACAGTCAGGACTGACAGACGCTGTCACATGAAGAGAATACAGGGAAGCTGTCATACGATTTACACAAGAAGATTAAGATAAAGAAAAACTTTCACAATTAATAAATAAGGTTTACATTAAGAATAGATATAATTTTTGCTAACTGAAAGTAATTCTTTGATTTCATTTCTGGGAGAATCAACACAATAACAGTTACCAGATTCTTGGTTGGCAAGGACCAAATATCATTCTTTTCGTCTTGAAGCAGCAAAACAGCTGACTCACCATCTTACATGCAATAAATCAAATCAACTACATGATATGAAATGCCACAAATTAACACGACTATACATGAAAAGTCTCCTTAGATACCACAAATCAACATGACTACACAGCGTTGGTTTTGATAATGCTACCAACAGCTGACCATTTAGAAATCAACAGCCAAAAAATGCTGGGGTTGGTTCTGCAACGTCTAGTAAAGGATACGCAACTAACTAACACATTAAGAAAAAGCCTCCACACATACTATAAATCAACACGACTGCACATGAAAAAAGTATCTTTATATACCACAAATCAACATGACCACACTTGAAAAAAAGTTTCCTCACATAACCACACACAAAAATGACATGACTACAAATTATTTTTTGTTCTAAAGCCAGCTTACATACCACAAGTCATCTTGAAAAAAGTTTAATTGTAACCAGGAATCAACACAAGTATGTGCAAAACATGTCTCTTTACATATGCCTGGCTCCAGAATTAATCCTCTTTGCCTCAGAAAGGAATAAAACAACTGTTTCCTTACCTCACATTCCACAAATAAATACAACCATGTCACAAACAAGCTGCTTACATATGCTTGGCTCCAGAATTAATCCTGAGGTCATGCTTGATCAGACGCACAAACATTTTTAAATCATTTGATGTACACCTGTTTTAGAATATAAGGGAAAGCCCATGATTCACTTCTATACAAAAGGATCAGCTTTATATCAGTAATTAATGCAATATACATGGCAGGATGTGCATTTGGCTGATTACCACAGCTGTCAACTTGGTGGGATTACAAACCATTCCATGGCATCAACTTTCCCATGACATCAACTTTTCCTTGAAAAAATGACACTGACCTCCCCATGAAATCAACTTTGCTAAGTCATCAACCTCATTATGAAAATGACCTCCCCATGACACTGACCTTTGCATGACACTGATCTTCATATGAGATCGACCTTCCCATGACATCAGCCTTCCCATAAATCAACCTCCGCATGACAATACAAAGAGTTGGAAGTTAACTGGCTGAGGACCCATGCTCCAATGTAAGAAGAAAGAACAGATCTCTGCTTACTCACCTTTTGGCTACTTTGGTCAGCACCCTCAGCTGGTCCTCTTCCTTGGACATCTGGGATAGTTCATTCAGGTAAGCATCAACCTGAAGAACAAATATCATTGCTGTACCATGACAATGACATGACAAGGGTTGTTTACTTTCATTAACAGATTTACAGGTATAGCTACTGTGGATGGTGGGCGAGCCATGGACCAGGCTGATATTCTAAATGTTCTAAGAGAAGTAAGACTTAGAAGAATCAAGTGATGACTGTGAATCTGCAACCATAACCAGACTGTAAGAACAACATGTTAAAAGAGGTGTGGCCAGATTAGGGTATTATGTAGGAAGCCAAAGACGAATAAGAAAACAAAAAAGAACAGGTGTCGCAAGCAGCTACACGATGCAGGATTTACTGAAGAGGGGAGCCGAGCAATTATGGACTGGATGGTTCCAGCGCTTATGGACTAAATGGTTCGATGTACAATGAGAATAATTTGTTGACTAATTAACTAACTTACTATCCTGAGGTACTGCAGTCATCAGAATAAAACAGAGACCTTTCATACTTGAGATATTGTTGCAGTTGTTCGGATACCATAAGACACTCACCTCCTGCAAGGACAGAGTACTCTTCTTCTGGGGTGGGAGAACTTTACTTTCTTCAAAAGCCCAGCGGATGGTCTCAGCCACGTCACCCTGTAGGCATATAAATAGTTTTTTGTTATGATTAAGTTATTGCTGGGAGCTGCAGTGGTGTAATGGCTAGATGCTCACCCATGGATCCAAAGGTCATAGGTTCAGCTCCCGACAGAGCCTGACTTTTATTTTTTAAATGACCTTGACTCCCAGGTTGACCCTGCTTTAAATGGGTACCAGGTCTGTCTCATGGAAAGTAAAGGAGGCTGGCGTGATGCTGACCACATCACCCACAGTGTGCCGATTGGTCTATAAAATATAGGTCTAATATATGTCCTTAAGTGATTCTTTTAGCATGTCTTTGAAGCCTTTTATCTGGCCATCATGATAGCATCTATCTTCTTGTATCTCACCATAAAAGATTATTTTTAGGAGCCAAGGCCTGGGAAGTAGACAGGGTGACTTGCCCATCGAATCTGTGACTGCAACAGAATGGATTTGATGCCAGCTCTATCCAATATGACAGTATCTGGGACCTTGTCTTTCCACTTGATGTTTCAAATTTTTCTTAGACTGTATGAAAGTGGTTGAGCTTCTTTGCCTGATGTCTGAATACAGTTCATGTTTCACAAGATTACAGCAGCACTGGAAACATTGCAGCTCTGTACACCTTCAGTTTGGTTTGCAGAATGATGCCACTTCGATGCCCGACAGTGGTGTACAGTCTGCCAAATGTGCAGCTATCAGAGATTCTGATATTTGCCTCATCACTGATGGTGACATTTTGAGACATTTACTAGCAAGGTATGTGAATCTATCCAGAACTATTTCTTACCATTTAGCAAAATGGTTGGTTCAGTACACATTTTGTCTGTGTTACGATTTTTGGTTTTCTCCATGTTGATGATAAGCCCAAAGTTGGTTCTGGCCTCATAGAATCTGTCCATGTTATACTGTACATCTGCTTCAGGACCAGATCCCTAATAATACATAAACTAACTGCTTTTTGCTTTAAGCCCCTAAGATTGAAGGATTTTTCCATTGATGTGGTAACAATCAATTCCTCTGTTTCCTCATGAAAAACATCAGAGAACCCAGCTGAGAATTTAATACTGAATAGAGCAGGTGCAAGTACATACAATTGTTTCACACTGTGGAAAGGTTCAGAAAGTTCTCAATTTTCCTTAATTCTAGCCTGCATTCCATTGCGCAGTTGCTGTACAATTTAAGATAAACTTAACTGGGCAATCCATCTACCTAATCAAGGTCCCGCTCATTATCGATACATCTCCCCACCTAACCAATGACCCACCTATCATCCATCCTCAGCCACCTTGACATACCCATTTATCCATCGGCCATCCACCCACCTAACCAATAAGCTGAGCATTAGAAGAAATGTGCTCCATACATGTGATAGCAATAATATTCCTGAAATCTCATTCACTTATCGTGGAAGACTCTTTTTGATGCAAACTGATCTGGCTAGTCACTGTCGCCCTCACCGAGGGCTGTGATTTCTGTGGTATCCTATAGCACAATGGAATACTTGATCATTTGAAAAGCAGAAATGTGCCAATTACAACACATACATATATATATATATATATATAAGGGAGAAGTGGGGAAAAAAACACAAATAGATACAAGACCATAACATTATTATTACATACCTGATCCAAATCTGCAACCATTCTTTGTAAATTTGTCCCAAATATCTGTGGCAGACAGTTCAAATAAACTGTCATTTGCAATGAAAGAAATAAACTTGTGGGCATGAAAAGCAAGCAGGAAACGGGGTAAAGGTGGGACACTGGAAGCAGAGGTAAAAGTGGGACATGTGAAGTAGGAGTAAAAGTGAGACAAGCGGACTGGTACCAGGTTCAAATCCCAGTCCCAACCTTTCATTTCTCTCTATAACCCATGTGACTAAACAGCTGCACCATCTGTCTGCTATGTTCAAATCCCAGTCAAAACCTTTCATTTCTCTATATAACCCAAGTGACTAAACAATCACCTGACTCAACAACCTTATCAGCTGTTTATGTTCAAATCCCATTCATCAGTCCAACCTTTTCCACTTCTTCACCCAAATGTCCGACTGTGTAATCTTGTCACTCACCTGACTAAACAACATCTTCTTCTTCTTCTTCTTCTTCACTTCCTCTTTTACCGCTGTGGGTGTCGAGGGAGATATAAGGTTCTGTTTTTAGCTCTTCTGGCTGCCTTGACCATAGGCACATCGTGCTGTTGTAGAGTTTCTCTGATGTTATCTTTCCATCTTGTTCTTGGTCTACCCCGTGCTCAACGTCCTTCTTCTCTTTCCATGTATGCTTTGTATGGTATGGTGTCACAAGGCATTCTCTCTAAGTGGGCAAACCATTTCACTTGCTGTCTTTGTATGTAACCCAGAATTGGTTCTGTGCCGACTTGTTCTCTTATGATCTCATTCCTGATCTTATCTCTTATGGTCACTCCTACAGCCCTTCTCAGACATCACATTTCCGTGGTTACTTTTTTAAAATTTACTAAACAACATCGACAGCCATTTATTACTTTACTTTTTCTTGTCTTCACCTTTAAAAAAAAAGGTTGGATGGCATGGTGTGCTGCAGTTTACAGTTTGCCTGTGATATCTGCACTTTCAGCTCAACACATCCAATTTCAGCAAACCCATTATCAGTCACCATTTACAATTTGCTTGTTAGGGAAGTAGTGAGTCTATTCTTTTTCCCCCAAAATGGGGTCCTGAAACCCACATAAAGAGGTTATTGTTCAAATCCAAGTCCCAACCCCCCCCCCCCTCTCTCTCTCTCTCTTTATCTATCTCTCTCTCTCTATATCTCCCCACCCCCCACACACTCACCTGACTAAACAACTTCGCCAACTGTTTATTGTTCAGGTTATAGACAGTTTTCACCACCCCTGGCAACAACAGCTTGATCAACAGGTATAGGTCACCACGGAAGCCATCTGTAGAAAGGTTTAAAATGTGTTAATTGACGATAAGGAAACAAGAGAGATGACATGCTGACCTTGAACGTATCTATGGTCATCTTCTTCTTCTTCTTTTTTAAGATTTTCCCCTTCAGAATTGCAGTCTGCAGGATTAACATCTCAAGGTTGAGAATCAAAACAGATACAAATTCTGGAAACCTCGTTCAGCTAGATCACATAGTCACACCGTGGACCCGACAGAGAGTAGCCTGTAGCCCAATCTGGGTTGGTCAATTATTACTTCTTCTTCTGCATTTATCTGAGTACGTAATTCCATTGTACCCATTTAAGGCAAGGATTAAGACAAGTGTGCCTTTTAGTTGGCACATCAAACTTTTTCAGGCCCTGGTTGCCCAGGTTAGCCTTGCCTGATATCTATGGTCTGAAAATTGGCAGGGGTAATTAAACAAATCAAGTCATTAGACACACTGAACCCCTATGTGGGTCCCAGGGCTCATTCTGGAAAGCAAAAAGAAAGATCCACTGTCACCTAACAAGCATGTCGTAAAAGGCAATAAATTAAGTCTCCTGAAATCAGATGTGTTTGGCTGAAAGGCACTGATACTGCAGCCTAGGTATAAGCCACAACATAACATGCCAACCACTATTTTATGCATGAATGGAGAAGAAGAACAATAACTGCTTAACTGTAGTCATCCTCATTTTCATCATCCATGTAGCCTTTGGTAGTAGACACTTCACACGGATTATACTCTTTAACACAGCAAATAGCTGACAAAACAACCACACTTTTCCTGTAATCATACACATCAACCTTTCCTGTAACTATATACTTCAACTGTTCCAGTATCTATACACTTGAACTTTCCATGCAACTATACACTTCATCTTTCCTTGTACCTGGTTACACTTCAACTTTTCCTGCAACTAGTTACACTTCACTTTCCTGTAACTATACACTTCAACTCTGCCTGTACCTGGTTACACTTCAACTTTTCTCGTAACTATACACTTCAACTTTTCCTGTAACTAAACACTTCAATTTTTCCTTAACTAATTACACTTCAGCTATTCCAAAGAAGAGTATAATTAGTAATAAATCAATGTGTGAGGCATTTTTTGGTACAAAAAGAGTTAACAATCTATAACTAAAAGAGTTAACAAAGTATACCTTATACTGACTGTTATAATTAACTCTGTGAGTCCCAGGGGGTTTTGCATTAGAGGCCAAAGGGGTAGCAAAGAAAAACGTAAAATCTACGCATCTTGCATAACTGGGCTTGCAGGTAAGAACTTATGAATGTCTGATACATTCCTTGGGACTGAAAGAGTTAATACACAATCTATGCAGCATTAAATAATAAAAAGTAACTGACCAGAAAAAAATCAAGTATTTAAATAGAAAGAAAAAAGCTATATCCAAATTATAGCTCAGATGGGTTGAACGGTGTATTGTCTAAATTACAACTGCTAGTTCAACTTTTCCAATTGGATATACTTAAACTAGCCCTGTAACTACAGACGTCACATACCTCCACTGTGTCCCTTGGTGATATAAGTGTTCACTAGTTTTGTTTTGCCCAGGTAACTATTCTCTTCTGCAATGTCGGCACACAGGCGGCGAAACTCTCGAAAAGAGTTGTCTTTCTCTGCAAAAGGGTCATCCTCTGTGGACGGCGTGGTCACTTTTTTAGCAGACGTGTGGCTGGTTGAAGGCCCTGAAGACATGTTACCACAACAACAAAAACTGAAGGCACTGAAAACAATTTTTCGCAACAACAAAAATAAACATGAATGTGGACTGCATGACGGAGTCTGGCTGCAACGGAAATGTGAGACTGCTATTATCTATAGGAACACAACAATGGGGAATCCCCAATCTCTTTCACTGTGCAATTCTTGTAACGTCATAAGAAAAGGCCTTTTTGAAACTGTCTGTCACAGAATTTAAATTTTAGCAGGTCAAGGGTTACGAAAACAATTTACTGACCTCTAAGCAATAGATTACAGCACAGTTACAACGTGTGCAGTTCAGAGGAGCAGATTGATGCAGTGGGGAGTGACGAGAGGTTCTGGCAGATGCTTGAGGCTCAGAGGAAAGGCAAGACGGACGTTTAATCAGAATGCTACTGGCACTATTAGTATCAGAACTTTTCGCTGGCTGCTGAAGATGGGAATGGAGCGCTTATGGGAATGCCCGAGTGCTGTTATGTCGGTTCTTGAATCAAATCAAATCAAATTAAGCAAGTGTAATAATTATTATATTCAGTGTATAATACTGGATCTTCAGGTACAATTTTCTGAAATTAATCCCCCACCCCCAACCTTATAGCTCTTTTTTCCCTTCTCCTGTCTTTTATCTCCAAATGGAGCATAAGCTCTCTACTAACTCATGCCAAACCTTTTCTCCTTCTAACAATCCTAGCCACGTGGCACTGGTAGTCATGTCTATCCACAACATTCTCTCATATACTTTCAATCAATTCTGACATAGATGATCTTCCATGCCATGATGTCAAACTGTCCAGCATCTTAGCTCTCTGTGTCCCTCTACCTCTTTTCCCCTCCAACTTTTAAACCATCTCAATGTACTCCAGTTTTCTTCTTCTCATGAAATAGCCCACCTTCTGGCATGGGCCATCAGTTCTACCACTTTAATTGATTTGATTTAATTCAAGAACCGACATCACAGCACTTGGGGTATTCCCATAAGCACTCCATCCCAATCTTCAGCAGCCAGTGAAGAGTACTGATACTAATAGTGCCAGTAGCATTCTGATTAAATGTCGTCCGTCTTGCCTTCCCTCTGAGCCTCGAGCATCTGCCAGAACCTCTTGTCACTCCCCCCCCCCCCCCCTGCATCAATCTCACCAGACTGTGGTGATCCATCTGCTCCTCCGGACTGTACATGCTCTCCCACAAAGCACTAACCAATCTGTCGTATTACCAAGCACTTTATAGAGCGTTAATCATAGGTTGAATTTTGCAGCTAAGTTTTCTGCAGGATGGGGTACCCATTTTCAAACCAACACTTGTTGATTGCTTCTTTTGACCTCCATGATAGATTCATCATCACAAAACTTAATTCAGAAGAAAGGCCTCCAAATCTGCAAGGTAACTGTGTTTGCTCACCATTCTTGACAACTGTGTCCTAAATGTTATGTTATCACAATCGATGTCACTGCATACTGGACATTCCCATGTGTGCTTAGTATTCCGATACAGCAGCACTCCAAGGTACCTTTCCTGACTGTTCTCATGAGGATAATGTCTCCTATCTCAGCTTTAAAGCATAGACATGCTTCATCATGCTTTACTCCAATGTCACGTATTCATGTTGGTATCAGATATTTAGCATTATCCAGTAACCTAGTTCATAAAGCACTGATTGATCCTGCTTTATCCATGCTCCTTTCCACATACACTGGTAAACCACTTATCAGTTGCTCTGCTCAGTCATCAGAAATGATGATCCTATATCAGCTGCTCATGTAAATTGCTTCTTAGTTCTCTTATAGGTCTAGAGCCGGGGTAGCAAAGCGACTAGACACTCATCTTTCAGCCCAAAGGACTTAGGTTTGAATCTGCTTCGAAGCTGATTTTTTTTCTCTCCAAAATTGACCGGACTCCCTAGGATAATACCCGAGGAAGTAAAGGTGGATGGCATATGTTGACCACATCTCCCATCAAGTTCTGACTGGTCTATAACAATTATTGATCTACCACCATAGGCCTTATGAATTAAATGGCAATGACTAGTACAACAATTATAAAACAGAGAAGATGACGCTATACTGGACACATTCTGAGAAGACACGAACAGAGAATCACAAAACAAGCACTGAAATGGGGAAAAGAGGGATTGAGGAAACAAGGAGGCCAAGATAAACCATAAGGCGAATGTTGATGAGAGAAGCCTAAGGTGCTGGACTGGATTCAATCCATGATATCAAAGAGATAGCATAAGATAGCACAAAATAGAAAAACAGACTGCAAGTCTTATGTGACATTTAATGGCACAACAGGACAATTATTGAATGAATGAACTATATGCCTGATGTGTGCCGAACATGTCAAAAGAGTTCTTTTACTAAAGGGGTACTAACCTCTGTCATTGCTTTTGATGCTGCCATTAGAAGAGGCTCCAGATGACTCCTTTTTAGGAGTTGTCTTCACTGGAGTGGAGCTTGTGGGTGTTGTCTGAACAGTCTTTTTAGGCTTTGGTGACGGTTTGCTCCCAGCTTTGGTATGATAATCTAAAACGACACACACACAAAACATCTGTGTGATCATGTAATTGGAAAAGCTGGATGATTAGTGAACAATTATGTGGAGGCAGCGAAGATGTGATTTTTAAAAAAAGTGATGAGAATAACCTGGACATATATAAATAGTAATGAAGATGTCTTGAAAAAAACTGACTCAAGAAGAGAAATTACCACATTAAAAGGAGACAATTTAGATTCTTTCGTCATGTCATGAAAAGGAGAAAACTGGGAAAGTTGTACTTGTTTAGAGCATTCTACAAATCATGAACTTTGTAGTTCCAGTTATAAACCCCAGAGGATATCTGTAAAAACAGCACTCATAAGCTGAACAGTGCATCTGTTAGATAAAAGATAAACACACAACCATGAGAGTGCAAGGCAAATGGCTTGACCACTGTGCCACTGAGATCTCCATGCATGCATGGACTGTGAGAAGAAGAATCAACAAACACACTCCCCATGTAGGTTGCAGGTGCCCCATTTTAGGGGGAAAAGGAATAGACCACCAACTGCTTCCCTAACAAGCATACTGTAAAAGATAACTAATTAAGGATTTCTTCCGAGGTCACAATGCATTGGCATGAGTGGCAGGGAACCAGCAGTCTGCATACAAGTAATTTGAATCATTAAAATAGATGTGCATGCAAAATTCAACTTTTGGAACAAGGCAAACATCCAGAAGTGGACTGACAACCAGAATTTTTCGCTGCAGTTTACAGATGGTGAACAACAAAAATAATTTTTTTTAAACACACATAAACTCATGTACTTACCCTCAATGAGCTGTTTTATCGCATCTTTATCCTCTTGATTTAAGTCTCCAAACCCTTCAGCATCTTCTGGCTCTTCAATCTTCTTTGTCGTTGCCCGAGCCTTGACAAATGTTTCAAAAATACAAGCTGGATGAAACCACTGCTTCATGTCTCCAGCATCCTCTGAAAAAGGATTTGGGGTCACCTTCCCGATTCGCAAGCCACCTTTATCTATCTTCTGCTTGCATTTTTTACAACTTGATGTACCTAGCTTTGCATATCCCACAACGTATTTGTTATCCGCCATCTCATATGTTTCTGTGCTGAAGCAACGTTTGGTAAATGGGTTTAAAGTTCTTATTCTTACAACAGTATAAACTAATTTCAGTCTTGTTTCTGCTGTCCGCCAAGGTTTTCCTGTGTTTTTTAAAAGATCTTGGCAAGATGTATCCCTGACACCAGAGAAACTATGCCCTGCATAGCCAGATGGAATCAACTGAAACAGATGTCCTGTAGACTGTTCAATGTGTTGAAATTTCTCTGTAGTACTGTCTTTAACTGATGTGAATCCCTGGGGCCATAGACACAAATTACTTCTACAACACAATGGGAATACACTGCTACGATGAGACGATTTGACTTCAAAATATCTCAACAAAGTTGTACATAGCCTTCTGTGAGCCAGTTTGTTGTTGCACCAACTTCTTGATATCTGCTACTCTTGTATGATGCCCAACAGTTTGAATCTGAATTAATCAAAGCAGAGATATAATAATACAAATTTAAAATTTAGAAATATTTTATCAAACAGCAGATATTAATAGTTTTTTTTTTTTTCAAAGTTAATGTGGCCATGAGGAGTGGCATACAGAGTGCTTTAGAATACTGGTCTCTTATTCAGGAGGCTAGGGTTCAGATCCTTGAAAAGTTTATAGATCTATTCTGTCTGGGAAAATACATAATTTTCGCCTGCTCAGTCTGTTGCAACAACATTAGTCATGCAACTTTAAATCCTCAGGCTCAGACCCACCCCCTGTTCCACACCACCATAAAAAAGTTGTTTATACAGAAAGTAAAGACAAAGACAGTCTATAGAGTAGGTTGCTACCTACAGGTTTACCACATCATCTTGATATTTTTTTTTTCAAGTTCTAAGTAGGGCATCTATAATGCCTACGTCAGCCAGGTGTATTTTTTCTTCGTGTTCACAGTGTAAACTCTGGCGGAAAGTTCTGGTTGTTCGTCCTGTTTCAGAACCTGAGTGTTGCGTGTGCATCTGTTTGACAAGTCTGACTAATTTGTATGCAGACTGTTGGTTCCTTGCCTCTCAGGCAGAAGCACTCTAACTTTGAAGGAAGCTCCCAATTGGTCGACTTTTATAACATGCTTTTGGGTAGGCAGTGGGTCTATATCC